TAGAAACAAAAAAACACCCCAATTACAAATCGATTTTAGAAACAAATTTTTTCTTGATCGGCCAGGCCTAATTTCATATTTATAACAGTTGACCTCATTTATCAATCAATTGGTCAACTCACCTGTATCATGGACAAACACACACAAACAGATTGCCTATACTGTAGCAATTCTGCAGTGTTATGGCCAGATGATCTTCTTCAACAGAGTGTTTAACATTCTTAACTGATAAAGCTAGCAAAGCTCCTGATTTCTAAGAAGAATGCATGATAAAGTGAAAGTATGTTTCAATGCAGTTTTCCAAATATCCTTGTTTTGGCATTTGTTATATGATTTATGTGCTTTGATGATGCAAGTTGTAGAAAGGCAGACACTGGATAATAAAAGGATCACATACCTGTTCTATAAATTCTAATCTAAGGCACATTTCAAGCAATCAGTTTGACGTCACACTAATAACTTAGGTGAAAAGAAGGCAATGTTCTCTATCACATTGTTTATGTTCATAGCTGTTCTCAATTTCTTTTCCCTCTTCCCAGTGGAAATCCAGCTATTGCACCATGAAAAAGTTCTTTTGGACAAAGTGATTGATGTCAACATACGCACAGACTCACCTGAGTTGTCTGTCCCTGCACACAGCCACCATCACCAGCAAATTCCCCAGGATAGCCATAAGAATAACTGCAGAAATAAAGGTGAGCAGCACAATCTTTTCCAGGCCAAATCCCTCAGTTGAGCTGTAGAGAAAAGACATGAGGTAGTATTGTGAGCAAACATAAATATGGACTCTCTGGAATGCAGACCGGTAGCCCAAAATCAGTTTGGCCACCTTAAAATGAAGGGTAGAATTCAAGTCTAACCACACACTGATGTACAACAATTTTCCACACTCTATGACTGACAACTTCCCTTTAATGATTAGGATATTCATTAGCATTTTAATTGCAAAGGAAAATTCAGCAGCTTAGAACCAGTTCACATATATCAACCCTTTTGTTGGTAAATAGGCACACTGTCATATTTTGTTATCTATATTCAAAGCACAGATTTGTATCTGGTTTAACTATAACACAGAACTTTAGTATCTGCCCTGAAAATAAATTTTGTACCTTGGATCTGAGCATCTACTATCATATAGGCACCTTTTGACCCTGGAAGCTGATGAAAGATTACCATATATACTTGTGTATAAATTGACCTTATGTATAAAGTGGAGGGCAGGTTTGGGGAACAAAATTGTGGATTTTGATAGGACCTATGGATAACTCACAGGTCTTTCTATAGAGGGAAAGCACCAGTGTCACCTCAGATGACCAGCTGCCTGGGTACTGCTGCTATCACTTTTCCACCCTGGCATTAAAAGGGCCAGAAGCAACTCCATAGCAGATAAGAGTAGAAGGATTGAGTGCTTCTTTTCGTTTTTCCTGGGAAAGACAATTCTCTTACCTTTTGCCACTCTACTGAGAGAAGGTAATGGTTTCCTTTTGTTACAAGAATTAAGGTGCAGTACTTGCATTGACCCATGGGTAAGTCAACTCAGGTTTCGGGGAGCAATTTATATTGACAAGTTTAGACTTATACATGAGTATATACAGTACCTGTCTCATCTTCCTCACAGATCTCAGCCTGTTCCTATGCATATTTAGTACAGATTACAGAAGATGAAACTGTGGCAGCTGTTTAAAAAAGAGAGGAACAACTTTTCTTCCTTAGGAAACATGTGGATTACCATCTGGGTTGGAAGAACTACCTGGTGATGCTTATATCCTTGTACTGAAAAATAATGAGCGCTGCACCAGTTCCTACTAACTTACAACCAGGCTTTTCCAAGTCAAAGTTTTGGCATCCTTGAGCCAGCACAGAGATACCGACATTTATTTCTTCCAGCTGCGGCCCTTGATTCTCCTGGACCCTTTCTTGAGTGAGCACTGCCACCCCGGTTTGGCATCTCATTCCTCCTCTGATGGAGCATCAGCTCCATTAAGACTATGTTATAATCTGTTTTATTGCATTTATATGTTTTAATTGTTTTATAATTTGATATGTTATATTTATTATTTGTTGTATAATGAGGCATTGAATTTTGTCATAATTTGTAAGCCGCACTGAGTCCCCTTCAGGGTTGAGAAGAGTGGGGTATAAATATAGCAAATAAATAAATAAATAAATAAATAAGGTTTCTATCACTTACAATTTATTTATTTTTGTTTCCTTCAACAGGCTTTTGCATACTAAGAAAAAAAAGACTGTATACAGTATCATTGTCTGGCGATGTTGATGTTATGACTCTTCAAAGTGACTCTGACCATATAAAGTGGACTCTGCTGCATCTGAGAGTACACATGGCATTGAGCTGGATTCACAGCAGAACTTCTGCATCCAGCAATTAATGCAGGTTAACAGAATGAAGGATTTATCCTGAAGTTCCAGAGTGATCCTGGAATTTTGGAGGTGGAAACATCTGGATCTAACCCAATCTATGTTCACATTTCCAATAGACTCACCACCGTATCATTGCCAGCAAGCAGATTGCTGGTGAAGTTACACCAAGGCATTCAGCCACAGAACCAGAAATCACCACCAGCAACTTCTTTGTCTCTCCCTAGTCCAACACTCAAGAACTGAGTAGAGCCCTCTATATTACACCACCTCTCATTAATTGTTCTTCCCTATATTTCCCAGAGTGAAGTAGCATCAAGTACAGCAAAAGGCTGGAAGGATCTTAAGTGGAAGAAATATAACCAGGTCTTCTCTACCTTTGTAGGGTTCTTCTCACAATGCAAACAACAGATTCAGAAGACATGCCCTTCCCTAGGATGGAACAAAATGATAAATTTCCCATTCCTCTTCTGCTGTGCTTTTATCAGTTGGGGGGGGGGGGTCTGCTGAAGATCCACTTTTATTAGGCATGCATATGCAGGGTTGTTTAGAATAATGTAACCCATATTTTTAGAGGATGCAACCTATTTTGTGTTGTGTCTTAAATGGAATGTGTGTGAGAGTGATGTATGTATTAAATGGAATGTGTGTGAGAGTGATGTATGTATTAAATGGAATGTGTATGAGAGTGATGTATGTATTAGTGTAACACCTGAAGCACATTACACTTTTTAAAACAAAGTGACCATCCAGCATCACATGGAGATTTGCCTCCTGATTTGCTATGTCTGGGTTATACACATATTCTTGTGGTGTCTGGTTAACAGGAATTCTTACTTTACTTACTTACTTACTTAGGCGATCCCTCGTTGGACGAGTAAGATGGTCTTCCATCATGGGTTTCCCTGTGGGTCCGTATGTGGCTGTGGAGCCCTATTCTTGCTTTGCATCTTCTTCCGCAGTGAGGGCATTGGTTTCCAGGTGGAAGGCGGTCCCGGTCGGGGTTGGCTTGACGCGCCTTCCTCCTGGCACGTTTCTCTCTTTCACCCTCCACTCGTGCCTCCTCAATTCTGCAGCACTGCTGGTCACAGCTGACCTCCAGCTGGAGTGCTCAAGGGCCAGGGCTTCCCAGTTCTCAGTGTCTATGCCAGAGTTTTTAAGGTTGGCTTTGAGCCCATCTTTAAATCTCTTTTCCTGTCCACCAACATTCCGTTTTCCGTTCTTAAGTTCAGAGTAGAGCAACTGCTTTGGGAGACGGTGGTCAGGCATCCGGACAATGTGGCCGGCCCAGCGGAGTTGATGTTGGAGGACCATCGCTTCAATGCTGGTGGTCTTTGCTTCTTCCAGCACACTGACGTTTGTCCGCTTGTCTTCCCAGGAGATTTGCAGGATTTTCCGGAGGCAGCGCTGATGGAAACGTTCCAGGAGCTGCATGTGACGTCTGTAGACAGTCCACGTCTCACAGGCATATAGCAGGGTTGGGAGGACAATAGCTTTATAGACAAGCACCTTGGTATCCCTACGGATGTCCCGGTCCTCAAACACTCTCTGCTTCATTCGGGAAAATGCTGCACTTGCAGAGCTCAGGCGGTGTTGTATTTTGGCGTCGATGTTGACTTTGGTGGAGAGGTGGCTGCCAAGGTAGCGGAAATGGTCAACATTTTCTAATGTTACACCATTAAGCTGTATCTCTGGCATTGGAGAGGGGATGGCTGGTGACTGCTGGAACAGCACTTTGGTTTTCTCGATGTTCAGTGACAGGCCAAGCTTCGTGTATGCTTCTGCAAAGGTGTTGAGAGTGGCTTGTAGATCTTCTTCTGAATGCGCACAGACGACATTGTCATCAGCATACTGGAGTTCTATAACAGATGTTGTTGTAACCTTGGTTTTGGCTTTCAGTCTGCTGAGGTTAAACAGCTTGCCATCTGTCCGATGGATGATTTCCACTCCGGTGGGAAGCTTCCCGTCAACAAGGTGAAGTATCATAGCAATGAAGATGGAGAATAGAGTTGGGGCAATAACACATCCCTGTTTGACACCCGATTCCACCTTAAATGGGTCACTTTGGGAGCCATTGCTGTCCAAGACTGTTGCCATCATGTCATCATGGAGGAGCCGCAGGATGTTCACAAATTTATTTGGGCACCCAAATGTGTATGAGAGTGATGTATGTATTAGTGTCACACCTGAAGCACATTACACTTTTTAAAACAAAGTGACCATCCAGCATCACATGGAGATTTGCCTCCTGATTTGCTATGTCTGGGTTATACACATATTCTTGTGGTGTCTGGTTAACAGGAATTCATGACACAAATGATTCAAATAGGTGGTCTGTGTCCTTTATAATCTGAGAAAACCTTCACTCAACTTGCATTCATCTCTTCAGGGGAGCAAAGTGGAGCAACATTCTGCAATATTATTTTCTTGGTTAAATGGAAAGAAGAATGCTGCACACTGAATGAAGAAAGTCACCTTGGTATTGCCACCTGATCCTTGTGAAATGAGATGAAATGAATCCTTGTTCAAGGGCAGTTGCCTTGCACCAAGAGACTGTATCAAAAAGCAGATCCCTTTCCCTAAGCGGAAACCGGAAGAAACTAATCCATAACAGCTGTGTAGGTGTTAATGAAATATTAATAACTGTGTTTATGATAAGTTTTCCATGTTTAGCTAACCATGTTACACATATAATGTAGTTGTGCTAGTCTTCAGGCACTGGAAAGTGCTACACTTGTGTTACCATACCTATTATTCACTATCATCCTTAGAATTATAGTTTTAATATCACTTTTGTGTTGAACTGTATTTTATGTAAACACACCTTGAATTCTGTGTGAGGAATGGTGAGACATAAAGAAGCAAATAAGCTATATTCCATATTTATATATGTGTGTATTTATAATGTAGCGGCCATGATGCTAAGATGTCTCTGATTACTCATTTCCTCAATATTGTGTCATAAAATGCTGATTGCAAATCATAATTTATGGATACATCACTGTATTATTTGCAAGCTTTTTCAGAATTAAATAGCACTGTGAGAACATACATTTAGTCACAACATAAACCCTATTTAAAATTATAGCTTTAAGTTGTGATTAAGTATAAGTTCTTACAATGTTTTTAATGTTGCAAACATTTGCTCTTCATTAGTGTATGAATACTTGCTTTCCAACATATTCCAGATCAGTAAGTACACCTACAGAGTCATCCACAACATAAAATTATGGTATGTAACAGAACTCTTGTATATTTTAGCAGGCAGTCCAATACACATTGACAACGGCAAGCAACTTATGCAGATTGCAGTGTTAAGAGAATTATTTTCAAGACTGGAAGCCTGTAAAATTCCAAA